TCAAGTATTTTTTCAACTCAATATTATTAGTGCCACATAAGTTTGGTCAATGATCAAATATGTTAAAAATATTGTGTTTTAATAAATTTAAAAGTTCAATTGACAAAGTCATAAGTATAAGAATTCAACTGATAAATGAAATCAAGTATAAGAGTCTCACAGGTCATTCCGTCTATAAATTAAAAATGCAAAAACTAATGGGGGGCTAGACCTTACCCTTATAATTGCTTATAATTGTTGTTCATGGTGTGATCAATTATTTTTTGTGATATAAGGCATTTGCTGTTTTTGTCGTTTTGTATTATATTCATTACTTTCTGTTCGTTTTTACCTGTCGCGTTTTATTAATCAATCTACAACGATATATTGAATTAGATTAGTTAAATATTTTACATTAAAATTTTAAATGTTCAAAAACGGTATATAAAACGCTATAAGTTATAAGCTTTCTCTTTTTAATCTGATAAAAAAATAAAGTTTAAAATATTAATCAAAATTTTAATGCTTCTTGGTAGGAAATGTTAGAACAACTGAACATGAATGATAAAAATATAAGGAATTCAAAACAAAAATTTGTTTGGCTTAGAGGCACGTTAATACGTTTCTTGAGGATAGTTGGAGTCTCTTCCACGAGCAATCAGAAGAATAAATAACAACTCTATCTTCGGGATTCAACTAAGCCACAAAACAAGTAGCATTCAAGAATGTTGATCTTCTATTCTTGAATTGGTGATTTCACCTTTTGATTAATGTCTCACAAGTATTTTTCAAGGGAAAGTAGTTTTGTTTGAGTGCTTATCTTTTCAATCAAAAGAAATTCAATTAATAGGACAAAAGTTTTGCAAGAAAAAGACTTTTAATTAAATAGTATTTATTATAGGTTCATGAATTGAAAATTAAACTTATCTTTCAAAAAATCCATAACGTAGAATTTTAAAAGTGTCTTGCAAAACATCTATAACGTAGAATTAAAACAAAAATGAATATTACAACTCACATTCATGTATTTTGTTATTTCAAAACTTTTAACGGATGGATTTGTTTCAAAATTAATTGAAACACTAACTCTTACAATCCCCCACTTGTTTCAAAAAAAAATTTATTTTTGAAAAATTCAAAAAATATTTTGAGACATTAATCTAGCAACATGCATCAATAATGGTGTCTTTTGGACTTGAACCATTAGCTAGTGAAAGCTTTCTAAATCATTGACTACTTAGTGAACGAATCTTGAACTAAGTGGTTCATTGAATGAAATAGAAAAATACTCCACGCATATCACTATGTTTCGGTGAAAATCGAAATTCTTTGACACTTTACGGCCATGTGTCCTGAATCCTTTTAGCCAAATGCTTTAAGATTTCCCTGTTAAAATCTTATTGAAGCGGCCTCCACTTCACACTTAGTGAGGTGAATTTCATCAAGAGTAACTTTGCATACTCCGACCAAATAGTCTATGAATTTCATTTAGAGAAATTAATCTCGTCCTCCTTTACAACAAAGTATCGGTAAATCTATCAAGAGTATTCCTACACACTCCAATCGAAATCGATTTATAGACTTATTAAGAGAATATAATCTCATCATTCTCTTTAGTAGGGATATCAAAAAAATTTATCAAGAGTTTTTTTACTTACTCCAACCGAGATCGGTCTTATAAATTTATTAAGAGAAAAGAATCTCAATCATGCACATCTACTTATTTCATTTTAGTTCGAAAAGGGAATTTTATAGATGTGCTTCACAATTGTAACTTTACTTGTTTTTTCCTTTGAACCCAAGATTAAACATCATTAGGTAGGGTTACCATAAAGTACAATTAATTTACAACAGGCTTTATTCCCATCCCATTACAAGTTTCCACCACTAACTCTTCGCCTAACCCTTTAGACAAAGGATCCTCTAAATTAAATCTGGACTTCACATATTGAAGCAATATCACGCCTTCCTCCAATAATCTTCTCACATGATTGTGTTTGAGACGAACTTGTCTCGGTTTGCCATTGTAGCAATCACTTGAAGCCCGAAATATAACAGCTTGATTATCACAATAGATAGTTAAAGGTGGTACTGGCTCTCCACAAAGGAATATCTATCAACATAGATCACATCCAATCAGCTTCTTCTCCAGCAGAAGACATAGCTATAAATTCTGACTCCATGGTTGAGTGAGTAATACATGTCTGCTTCTTTTATTTCCAAGAGATTGCTGCTCCAGCCAAAGTGAAAATCCAAGCAGTAATAGATTTAGAGTCATTCGGATCAGAATTTCAAATAGCATCGTTATAACCTTCAAGAACAACTGGAAATGTAGAATAATGTAGGCCAACATTAATTGTTCCCTTCAGGTATCTTAAAACACGAATTAAGGCATTTCAATGTTCAACCCCAGGATTACTAGTAAACTTGCTCAAAGTTCCTACTGCGTAACCAATATCCGTCCTGGTACAATGCATGGCATACATAAGACTCCCAACAATCTGAGAAGTTTGATGCAAGGATCAAATGGTGTAGGAGCAGATTTGTCATCAAAGTGATCAAATCTCTTTAGAACTTTCTCAATATAACTTGATTGAGTAAGAGTCAAGTTATTTGATGATCTCATGATTTTAATGCCCAAAATTACATCAGCTTCTCCAAGATCTTTCATTTCAAATTGAGAAGCTAAAAACGATTTTGTTTCTTTGACTCTTTCAATATCAGTTCCAAAGATCAACATATCATCTACATAAAGACATATTATAACACCAGATTTTCTTAAAATTTGCTAAATATGCAAATATCACCACCATTGATTGAGTAGCCATTAGAAATCATTACTCTTCTAAATTTTTCATTCCATTGTTTTGGAGCTTGTTTTAATCCATAAAGAGATTTTAAAAGCTTACAAACTTTGTGTTCTTGACCAGGAACGACAAATCCTTTTGGTTGTTTCATGTAAACTTCTTCCTCTAGACTTTCATTCAGAAATGCAGTCTTCACATCCGTTTGATGTATTACTAGACTATGAATTGCGGCTAAAGCAATCAAGAGTCAAATAGAAGTCATTCGAGCTACAGGTGCAAAGGTATCAAAATAATAAATATGTTTCAATTGAGTAAAACCTTTTGCTATTAAGCGAGATTTGTACTTATCTAAGGTACCATCATATTTCCATTTCTTTCTAAAGATCCATCTACAACCAATAGACTTATATTTCGGAGGGAGGTCTAATAAAATCTATGTATTATTTGACATAATAGAGTGCATTTCATTATCAATAGCTTCATGCTAGAAAGTAGCATCATGTGAAGCCATTGCTTCAACATAACTTTCAGGATCCTTTTCAACTAAATAAACTTGAAAAATAGGTCTAAAGTCTCTTAGTTTGGCTGATCTTGCACTACGTCTTGGTTGACTTTCTTCCAAAGGTTCAACTATTTCCTCTTAAGAGGAGATATAGAAGAACTTGCATCTTGTTCCAAAGGTTTTTTTTTCTTAGGAAATATATGCTAAAAAAATGTTAGCATGCAACGATTCAATAATTGTGTGAGGGCTTGGGGTCTCAAGATTCAAAAATCTATAATTTTTACTGGTTTGTGAATAATCAATAAATACACAATCTACTCCTCTATATCCAATCTTAGTCAATTGTTAATATGGTAATCTAACATAAACCAAACAACCCCATACTTTAAAATGATTTATATTTGGCTTTCGATTCTTCCAAAGTTCATACGGAGATGAATCATGTTTCTTGGAAGGAATTCGATTCAAAATATGACATGCAGAAAATAAGGCTTCAGTCCACAAATTTTCAGTAATACCAGATCTATAAAGCATAGAGTTAACCATTTCGATGAAAGTTCTGTTTTTTCTTTCTGCTACACCATTTTGTTGTGGTGTATAAGACATAGTCAATTGTTTCTCAATGCCTTCTTTTTCACAAAAATCAATAAAATTTGATTTTAAATATTCTCCACCTCTGTCAGATCAAATTGATTTTATCCTCAAACTCAATTTATTTTCAACTTCTACTTTATATGTTTTAAAGTCTCAAATGCCTCATCTTTTGTTTTTAATGGAAAGACATATGTATACCTTGAGTAATCGTCAATGAAAGTGATAAAATATCTCCTTTCATGACGTGATAAACAATCCATCTCATAAATATCAGTGTGGATTAACTCCAAAATTGTGGATATCCTTTCAACAGACTTAAAAGGTTTCTTTGTTATTTTACATTTACTACAAGTAATACACTTAGCAACATCATCCTTTCCACAGTCTTTAATTAATCCATTTTCACCATAAGTTGAATGGATCTAAAATTCACATGACTAAGACGTTCATGCCATAAATCTAAAAGACTCCACAACATAAGCATAAATATTTTCATTTTCAATATTGAGTTTAAACATTCCATTTGTAACATAACCTTTTCCAACAAACATGCCTTGTTTAGACAATATAAATTTATCTGTCTCAAAAATTATTTTAAAACCATACTTCGAAAGAAACGTACCTGACACCAAGTTCTTTCGAATAACAAGAACATACAATACGTCTATCAATGTGACCATCTTTCCGGAAGTGAATTTCAGTTCAATAGTTCTTTTTTCCACAACCTTAGCAAAGGATGAGTTTCCCATATGCAAAACTTTATCGCCCCTACTAATTCATAGGTCGTGAAAGAATTTCGATTACCTGATATATGATGAGTTTCACTAGTGTCTATCCACCATTCCACTTGATCTCCCGCTACAAATGCTTCTGTGACCATGCCACAAGCTCAATTTTTTTGTTGTTATTTGTCTTTTCTTTTTTCTTTTCAACCTTGAGAATTTTACAATCACGTGCATAGTGACCAATTTTATGACAATGATAACATTCATTCGACTTAGAATTGGAATTAGTACGCTTGAAATTCTTACTCTTCTTTGCCTTCAAAAAATTATTATTGTCAGGTTCCTTCTTGGTAGATTTTTCTTCAACAACATGAGCTTTCATGATAGGTTCTTTCAAGATTTTATTGTCACGATATCACATCTCTTGTTCAATTTGCAAGTGCTGCAATAATTGTCAAGAGTCAAATCATCCTTCTTGTGTAAAAGTTTGCTTTTGTACTCTTTCCAAGATGGAGGAAGTTTTGAAACAATAGCACCAACATGAAAGTTTTCATCAAGAGCAATTCCATATATAGCAATTTTATTAGCTATAAGTTGAAATTTTTGTACTTGTTCAGTGATTGACTTGTCATCAACCATTTTGAACTCCATATAATTTGAAACAAAAAATTTCTTTGAACTCGTCTCCTCTGCTAAATGGATAGCTTTAAGAGTATCCCAAATCTCCTTAGCAAATTAACACTTAATAAAATATTGATCATAATATTTATTGGACATTCCTCCAAGAATATAATTCTTGCATAAGTAATCATCATTTTGCCATTTGGCAATTTGTTCTTTAATTAAAGTAGCCTCGTCCGTTGCTACCTCAGAATTAGGAGCCTCAGGATTAGGTTTCTCAAGAACATATGCCAACTTTAATCGTCTTAAAAAGAATTTCATCTTTCCACGCCATCTAGGAAAGTCTTTGCCATCAAATATTTCAAAATTAGAATTCGGCAAATTTGGAACACTGTTTGTTATCGATGTGGATGCCATAGAGACAACTATCTTCAAATTGTTAGAACAACTGAACAAGAATGATAAAAATATAAGGAATCCAAAATAAAAACTTGTTTGTCTTAGAGGCACGTTAATACGTTTCTTGAAGATAGTTGAAGTCTCTCCCACGAGTAATCAAAAGAATAAATAACAACTCTATCTTCGGTATTCAACTAAGCCACAAAACAAGTAGCATTCAAGAATGTTGCTCTTCTATTCTTGAATTGGTGATTTCACATTTTGATTAATGTCTCACAAGTGTTTTTCAAGGGAAAGTAGTTTTGTTTGAGTGCTTATCTTTTCAACCAAAAGAAATTCAATTTATAGGACAAAAGTTTTGCAAGAAAAAGACTTTTAATTAAATCGTATTTATTATAGGTTCATGAATTGAAAATTAAACTTATCTTTCAAAAAATCCATAACGTAGAATTTTAAAAGTGTCTTGCAAAACATCTATAACGTAGAATTAAAACAAAAATGAATATTACAACTCACATTCATGTATTTTGTTATTTCAAAACTTTTAACGGATGAATTTGTTTCAAAATTAATTGAAATGGATGAATTTGACTACAAACTTAAAACAAATTGATTCAGACTTTATTTGATCTTAAGAGCTATTTAATAAATTTGAAAAATTGAAATTCCAAACATAAGATTCATAATCTAATCCAAATTTCTTTTAGGGCCTGTTAGGAAGGACACCCTGTTAATTGGATTTGGTGTGATTGGGTGTAATTACACTGTCTATCCTGTTTGGTTAGACATGTAATTACTTGGTCAGTATGTAATTGGTGTAATTGGCAGGGGGTAATTATACTCTACAATTCACAGGCAAGACTGTGAATTGCTGGTAATTACATGGTGTAATTACCGGCTGATTACTTTTTAACTTTTTTTTTTATTATTTCTATTTTATTTTTTTTGTTTTAATTTTTTTACTTCTATTATTTTAAGTTCTTTTTTTATTTTTATTATTCTAAAAATTTGTAAAAGTTATTTTTTATTTTTTATTATTATATTTCATTTTCTTCTTGTTCTCAACCTTACTTTACGTGATTCTATGCAATTTTTTCGTATTATCTATTTCTTTATGCCATGCTTATTTTCTCATTAGCATAATTTTATTAGTATTCTAATTTTTAAATTAAAATTATAATTTATTGTTAAGTAAGGTTATAGACTTACGTTATCTTTATTAAGATAAAAAATAAAAATAAATCATATTTATGCATGCTATGTTGAAATTATAAGAGTATTATGTTAAATTTTTTGTTTTGAATTTATAACTTATGTTATATTTTCAGTTTCATTTGTTTTAGTAATATTGAATTCACATTGCACGTCATTTTTTAATTACACTTGATAGATTATATTTTTGTCAAACATTTAATAATTTATGACATTTTATTTATATATTAATCTTTTTATCAAACATGCATTTCACGATGTTCGTAGAAACTTCATACTTTAGTTTTTACGATCAATTCAATTGAAATATATTAATTTGAAAAAATATAAATTAATTATTTTTTCATATATTAGTTAAAGAAAATATGTTTATTAATTAATATATTTTCAAAAAATAATATATATCTTAAATATTTAATTTAATGTCATTTATAAAGTTTCTTATTTGTCTAGTATAACTTTTATGATTGCAATTGTGCAAGACAAAGTTTCTTATTTGTCTACTTCAAGCCTTGTTGAAGTGTAGGTTTGCCGACACTTGGTGACAAGACTTGAAGTATTCATAAATGTGTTTTCATTTTTTGAGACTTGTCAACGTGTAGGCTTGCCAAATTTGACGACGAGAGTTGAAGTCTTCATGAATGTGGTTTCCTTTTTTGAGACTTGTCAACGTGTAGGCTTGTCGAATTTGACGACGAAAGTTAAACTCTTCATGAATGTGTATTCATTTTTTTGTGAGACTTGTCGACGTGTAGGCTTGCCGAATTTGACGACGAAAGTTAAAGTCTTTATGAATGCATTGTTGAGACACTCTTGTTTCTTGTCGTCGCATTCTAATTAGGTCCCACTGGGCGTGCCAAATTTATTCACAACAAATTTTCGTAAGCGTTGAAAATTAACTGCAAGCAAAATAAATAAAAGAAAATGTGATTTTTATTGATGAATCTTTGTGAGTACCATTCTGTTGTTCTCTTGATTCTTCTCTCCTAAGTTTCTCCGGGATTCGAGGGCCTTCAGTAGCATATTTCTCAAATGTAGGATGATGTAGACCTCCTTGAGATGTATTTGATCTCCGGGAACGTCGGGAAGCACTTCGTCGTTGCAAGTTGATCTCCGGGAAGAACTCCGTTGATCACTCATTCGAAGAGCTATGTAGTTGATTTTGTATCTTATGTAGACCTCCTTGAGATGTATTTGATCTCCGGGAACGTCGGGAAGCACTTCGTCGTTGCAAGTTGATCTCCGGGAAGAACTCCGTTGATCACTCATTCGAAGAGCTATGTAGTTGATGTAGCTTTCTCCAATTGCAGAATGCTTGTTGAAGAGTTTTCTCCCTCCCCTTGAATGTCATGTCTATCCCTTATTTATAGTTGTAAGGAGTGGACAAGGTTGCTTGTGATTGGCCAAAGGATGTCATTTTGACACTTTGGCGCATTGTGATTCGTTCTTGCATTTGACTGGGACTACCACCTCATTTGGACATGTGGCGTCACCTTGTTGGTCTTGGATGCCTAATCATTGTGACACGTGGCATGTGTTTGGGCTTCAAGGTGAAATGGGCCTTGAATTTGAATTTAATAAAAATGGACTTATTTATTTGTAAAGCCCAAATTAATAATTCAACCCAAATAAACATTGATTTAATCCAAATTTTGTATGAATTAAATCCAATAAAATTTATGTGTCTACCGTACTTTTTATCGCACAAGACTTCGGATGCAAGTGTCAAGCTTCCATTTCATAAATGCACTTATTTGTCAAATATAAACTTCTAATTCTCTTTTTAATTTTCAATATTTAATTATATAATTACATATATGCAACCAAATACTATACTTATTATTACATTATGACAAATAAATGGGTCATCAAATTAGGACCACATATCTTTCTTTTTTCCTTTCTTTAAATTCAACACTTGGAATAGTCTTCTCACTCATTTTCCTCCTTTTTAATCTGTTTCAAATTCTCAAAGAAACTAAAAAACATTATGGCTCAAACCTCTTCTAACAATGGCGGAACCGATGAGGTGCAATCCTATTCTACTCTCTTCACTCAACTTTTAGGGTGTGTTTGGTATGAAGGAAAATGTTTTCCATGGAAAATGTTTTCCTAGAAAATGTTTTCTTGGAAAACAAGTTAATTTTTTGACTTATTTTCTCATGTTTGGTTGGTGATTAGAAAATATTTTCCGGAAAAGATTTTTAGTGTTTGATTTATGAATGAAAAATATTTTTGAGAAATATCTTTTATTTTTACTAGAGTAGAAAATAATTTTTGAAATTGAAAACATTTTTTAAAAACAAACTTAAATTTGAGGAAAATGAGTTGATTTGGAAAACATTTTCCAAAACATTTAGCCCAACCAAACATGAGAAAATTGGAAAACATTTTCCGGAAAATGTTTTCCTTCATACCAAACACACCCTTTATCTTCCACTTTGTTATTATTCTCACACTATATAGTTACGCGCCAAGTCATTAACATAATAATCGATAAATAAATATGTATGTATGTATAATTAGTGTACATGGACTAATGAATGAAGTTATTTTAGTCCAAATGGCCAAATGCATTTAAACCCCTTTTCTTAATTATTGATTTTCAGGTTTTGGTGGAGGAGAGCGGATGTGTTAGAACATTCATATTAAATAGGCCAAAGCTGTTGAATGCACTTTCTTTCCAAATGGTATGACAAATATGATACTTTCCAGTTTAAAATAAGTAGTGTTTTATATAATTAAGAGGATACTAAAGATATTTTCTAATTTAACCCTTAATTAAATTAATGAAGTTTCACATAATAAACAAAACTAGGAGTATTTAAGAACTACTCTCCATATTCTTTTTTCATTTAATGAAGTTCTTAACTATTTTATATTTTCTAGTAAAATCGTTTAAAAATAATTAAAAGGATAATAGTAGAAAATAACTTTTAATATGTGTTCTGAAGTATTTTTCTTAAAGAGTGTGCCCAGACTAATAAAAAATAATTAATTTAGTGTACATGTTTTTCATACTTATAACCAGTCAATTAAATATAAATATTTATAAAAAGAACACATATGATATGTGAATATCATACTATTAACTACAACTGCAAAATGTTTTGAGATCAAGCGAAGTTTTTTTTATGCATTTTATCTATCGCTATGTTATTTCTTTATATTTTAGTAACAAAATTGTGTGAAGGAAGGATTAATTATACTAATTGTTATTTCATAATATAAATTATTATTTTCTTTTTTTCAAATAATCACCTTATATAATGTTTATGTAATATAAATTTTATTCTTTTTAAATATTTTATTTAATACAAAATTATATTATATTCTAATTTTCTAAATAATATAAATTGTAAGTAAATATTATATATATTATATTGTTGTAATTTTTAAAATAATTATGTTATGTGCTGTATTATTATCTTGTATTTAAATTATTATATTATGTAAAATATTTTAAAATAATTTCATCTTATCATTTAAATTTTGTGCTTTCTTCATACTGAAAAATAATAATTTTAAACTATATCACTTAAAGTGACGAAAAAGTAAAAAAAAATTGAAATAATATTAATTCGAGAAGAAAGTAGTATATGTTAAATAATATATTTTTAATTTTTTTTATATTAAATTAAAAAAAGAATTGTGAATATTAGAGATTTAATTAATTATCTTATATGATTTATAATATATTTAATTACAAATATTATATAATAGAAATAATAATAAAATAAAAAATAGAGGATATGAAGAACTATTATTCACTTCTGAAAGTAAAATATAAATGGTTCATTCTCTATTTTACCCTTTAAATATAGAAATTAGAGGGTGTGTTTGGTATGGAGGAAAAACATTTTCGGGCAAAATGTTTTCCAATTATCCCATGTTTGGTTGACTTAAAATGTTTAGAAAATGTTTTCCAAATCAATTCATTTTCCTCAAATTTAAGGAAAATGACTTCCTTTCCAAAATTAAAGAAAACATTTTCCAAAACTATACTTCATCCTTTGATTTTTTTTTTCTTCCCCTACCCATACCCGACTCTCCCCATTCAAAAAAAAAAAGTTAAAATTTTTAATTTTTTAAATTTCAAATATATTTTTATCTCTACGCCCAAACCAACACCCATATCAAACATTTCATTTTTTACGCCACCCCTCGCGCCATCCTAC